CCATAAAGTGGGCCTCACGCCCAAAGCAATGGTGCCAACCAGCTAGAGAGTGAAACCTCCAAAACTGTGAGCCAAACGTAATTTGTTCTCTTGCTAAATTGATTTGCTCAGGCCATTTGTTAACGCTAAAAGACATCTTAACACACCCTGTTAAGGTGGAAATGGCCAGGGTCAAAGGGAGTTTGGATTTTTCATAATAAAGAAATACAGAATTCTAGGGACAGGAATCCTGCTTACTGTGTGAGACAGGAAGCAGTGGTGCATGGAACCCTTTCTGCTCAGGGAAGGAAACATCCCTCTAGGTTCTCTAAGAAGAAAGAAAAAGTCACCGAGCTTCATGCTTGTTTGATGACTATTATGTTGGCAAAGGCAGGGTTTCTAAAATCCCTCCATGAAAAACCAGGGCAAAAGCAGCAGCTCAAACTCAGTGAGGGAAAGCTAGTTTGTAGTTGAATCGGGGACAAAATAAACCTAAACCACAGATTTCCTAAGCACTCAAAGAAACTTAATGCTGGGAAAATCAGAAACAGCCATGCTTGGAACTTGATATTCTTCAGTTGGAATTTACGTATGGAAGGATCTGATACAAACTTTGAAAATGGTCATGTGTAGGATGCTCAAGGAATTATATAAAGGGATATGTTCATTTAAAAAGAATACACTTTGAAACAAGCGACACAAATAAGGATAGGTGGGTAGAGGAAAAAACCCTGCTTATTAACTCACAAGCATGGGAAAGCACATGAAAGAAATGCCATAAACTCTAACACGACAGGAGAGAGACTTGGCTTCTTTCTGTGCACCAAAATCCAGGTGCTGTCAATGTGATGGAATTAAGGGGCGGGGCCTTTAAGAAGAGACCCGGCCATGAGGCTGCTTCCTCATACAAGGGCCAGCAGCGGCTTGTGGTGTCTTTCCCCCCTGCTTTCTGCCGTATGAGGACACACTAAGACCCACACCAGATGCCAATGCCTTGGCCTTGTCTACCCAACATCTGAAACTGTGAGTGATCAATTTCTGTTCTTTATAAATTGCCCAGCCTCGGTTATTCTGTGATGGCGTCAGAAATGGGCTGATAACTGGACAGGCAAAATTTTAAGTTTTACTATGTCCAGAGTTGTTGAGAATTTAGAAAACACTATATAATTATGAATATACTTATAAAATAAGTACAGTAAGCAGGAAGAATACAAAAGTCCTAGTCATACTCAGGGTAAGGATAGAAATATTAAGTACCTTTGGTATTTGCCTTAAAAATTATATTAACCTACAAATTATCAGGAAATATTCATTTTAATATCTTGAAGATCAGTAGAAAACAAAACTAGGGCTTAAACAGAAACTGAAAAATAAGTAAAGCATCATAAATATAGACACAAAGGGAGAAATCTAAATATTTAATTCTTATAAGTAAATGGATTAATTTCATCCACCCTAGAACAGATTATTAGGTTGTTTTTTAAAGTCATTCATATGGTGCTGCTTCTGAGACACTCAAACAAACCAACCACCAGCCTAGGGTCCTGTGGGGTCTAGTGCAATGCCTCCTTAGCATGTGGAAGCTACTAAAAACCATATGATCACACTGAGTGTATAGCAAAAATATACAGAGGCAATAATATACTAGAAAGTGGTAATTCACTTAAAATAAATTAAAGCTAAAAGCTTCCAAAAGGAAGCCAGCTTCCATAACAATTTAAGAAACAATCCAAAACAGAGAAATCATTAATTTTTAACTTACAATTATATACTTTTATAATGACAAGTTACACAAATTTATGAACACAACAACATAACCTGGAAATACATGAAAATAGTTGGATCCCAATTTTTTTAAAGCTGGAAAATTACCTTTTCATATTGACTTTAATATGCCAATATATGTTTTTACTAACCACCAAGAAAAAACAAACATGAAGAACACAGAATGTCTGACTGACAGATCACAAAGAATGGTGTCATTGGGACTATTGTCCCTCGTCATACTGGATGCCTCTAATCTTTGTCCTTCAGGCCGAGAAGCATCCATTATCAAGGTGGTGTTTAGGTACACACAGTCTATTGAACACATAGAAAATGTAACCATTAGACACATGGAGCCATCTGATTTTTTTCAAATTTAAAACACTGCCTCTGATATTTTGTGGGAATGCCTAGCTAAGACAAAGACTTTCTGTCCAAACGTAGTATGTGAGAATCCAGCCTGGTACTGCATGCCTGTATATGCAGCTTTGGAGGCTGAGACAGGAATATTCTGAATGAATAACAAGTCCCTATCAAAAAAAGGAAAGGAAAGAAAGGGTATAACTTATAAGTTAATACCACAAGCCAATATTTTCATCTTCTTTCCACCCATTACTTACTAGCTGCTTGAAGACTTTTTTAAATCCAAGGTTGTATCTCATTTGTTTTGACATGCTAAGTTCTACTAACAGCAGTTTTCATATCATTAATAAGAACATTAATAAAGGAATTTCAGATCAAATAGGAATTCTGCTCCACTGAGTTTTTAAAATCATTTGTTCTCTATGGCTGTTTACTTGAGATTGTCCATACAGATCCTATTTACATTTTTAAACATACAGGTCTTCCACATATGAGGCTTCCCACCCCCTGCCCCCATCAGAGAATATTTTCAACAGTAGCAGCTGTGCGTTTACAGGAATCTGTTTCTGGAACAAAAGGCCATGGCTATCCCAGATGCCCAAGACCAACAGATAGGGTGAAAGCAATGTCAAAAATCCCTGACCAAGGCCACTTTCCTGTCTCACATACAAAATTTCCCCTAGAAAAGGTCAAGGCCATGAAGTGTTTTGGAACTATTTGCTGAAAATATCCTTGTAAAGCAAGATAGTAGACTTCAGTTTTTTTATTTTTCTTTTAGTCTACTGATGAGTATGATTGGAATAGCAGTAAGTCAAGCAGCATTGTGTTTCAAAGGGTATCTGTGGAATTCTGTGTGAATTCCTACTCTTTTCTAAAAGTATGTTCTCGAGAAGCATCCTGGGTGCAAATATAATCTTCTACTCCTCCTCTTCCTTCTGCTTATCACATAAAGAGTCATGCAGACCAGGTTCCAACCAGAAACAGAATTTTATTTCTCAAGAAAACTTAATGAGCACACTGTCTATGAAAGAGTGGCAGAGGCAGGAATTAACAAGGGAGGGAGTAGTCCCCTGGACGAGAAGGTGAGAAGGCCACACCTTCTACTGAAGAGACCTCAGTTATAACTCCAGAACCTCAATAAGACTGGGAATAGCCCTGGGGAGCCTGTTCTGCTGGGAGACACTGGTCCTGGAGAAGTCTGTCTGCTGCCCTGTGGAAATGAGCAGAAAAAGCAAGCCCCGAGCTTGTCCTCCTGGAACCAGCTACCCTCCCTCTGTTCCTCAGTTGGTGCCTCTCACTGGGTGAAACCAATCGGAAACCAGAATAGTGTAGTCTTCATCAAAGAGGGGCTAGGAAATACAGAGAGTGGGTTTGGGTTGATGGCGGTAGGGACAGTGATCAATGCAGAGTGTCAGATTTCATGCAAGGGTAATTCTAATTTTGCCAAAAGTGATAAGGGAGCATGAACTAGATGTTTAAAGTAACTGTCTCATGGTGGTTGACAACAAATCGTTTTATTTTTCATAGTGTCTGAAACCCTAAAATGGCCATGTATGCCTTTGAATTTTATCTTAGGGAAAAAAAAGTGTTCACAGGACAATGTTTTGAATTTTCATTTTCAAAGGATAAAAATCCTCCTGGGTAGCAGGAAGGTGTCATTTTGAGGAAAATCAAGACCAGATGAAAGGCCTCCGGCTATTGGTAATGTAATTCCTCTAATGGCAGCAATGTTTGGTGGGGATCAGATGTACCCCACTTCCCATCCTTTCCGAAGATCTGGTAACCCACTCACACCTATTACCGTTGTTGTGCCACAATGCTGATCTGTGAAATTCATTTTCTCAAGCAATAATGTCTCATCCTAGACTTCACGTCCCAAATGTCAGCAGTGGACATGAACGTCATATAAACAGACAATTTCAAATTCCCTTCAGTGTTATTAAAAAGTAGCAAATGTCATTCTCAGAGTTTGATTTCTGATTTTTTTTTACTCACTTCCTGTCTTCCGGGTTTTACCTTGACTCCAGAGGAGGCAAGATGGAGGAGCACAGTAACAACGTTGCCATTATCTACCTGATGTCCACCACACTGAGTTCTCCTTCTATTCTTAGGACTGGCCTGGAGCTCCTGGTCAGCCCACTTTCAGTGCCTGGTGAAATGAGAGCAGCCGCTTCTTGCACAGACGTATTTAGAATGAACAGGATGAGATAGCAAATATTTGAAATGCCTATGAGCAGCTGTGGAGGGCCAGCTTCCCAAAACTGGAATTCTTAACCATTACCAGCTCAGTCTTGAGCCAAAGCAGCTGCGTGGGAGACCAGAGGCACTTGTCTAGTGGTGACAAGCATGTGCTGTGTGAACTCAAATGGCTGCATGAGCTCTGGTGTCCTCACTGGCTGCAAGGCTATTTAAAACTTCAGAGCAGCAGACAGCAGATGCCTGACACTTCCTATCTCTGCTTCAAAATAGAGAGAATTAAGACTTAATGAATTCAGCAGTTCAATGTTTTAGTTTCCTACACCTAACTTATGAGACAGTATACACTGCAGGTTAACAAATAAAACACACATAATATATACACTGTCTACCAGCAAAACTCCTGGTAGGGTTCAGTTTAGCTTTGAAAAACAATGCTGGGTCCTCCCTAGTACCAACTTATAGCTAGTTCTCCGGTGATTTTGTTGTAAAAGCACCATCATTCTGAACTGAACAAACACATTCGAAAACTTTCCCTTCTGATTACCAATAAGAAAGACAACCTCCACATACCAGGACCTGTGGATATGTTTTTAATCCTCATAAAAGTTACAACAAACCATCTCAAAAGTTAAACGTTCCCGGGCGTCGCCGGCTTTCGTCTTCCTCCTGTGGTATGAACAAGAACCGATAAGTTCTTACTTGGTCGCTAGCGGATCCTTTACCTCCACCACCAAGATTCCATCGTGACAGAGGATGGCAGACAAATCTTTGGTTTCGACGCCATCTGGCAGTTTGTACTGTCTGGTGAAACTCCGCGATATAAACCCGTGCTCGTCCATTCTGGTTCCGTGCTGCGCTTTGATCAGCAGCCAGCCCTCGAAGGTCTGGATGATGATGTCCTCCGGCAGGAACTGGACGACGTCCAGGAGGATCTGGAAGCGGGACTTGCCTTCTCCAGGCGGCGTCGAGGTGGAAGCTGAGTCCTCTGCAAGAGCCTGCGGGGTGCCTCTGACTTTCCTCAGGTCCTCGATGGTCGGTCCAGGCAGTGCATATAGAGCATGATCCAGTCTGCAGTCTTCCAAGCCTCGAGCTTCAAACTCCTCCTGATAACGCACTGGTGTCTCTATGAGGTGCCTCAAGATGATTTTTGCCATAGCAGAGGCAACTCCAGCGTTGAACAGCCTCCCTTCCGTAAGTGGTGGTGCCTGCGGACTTGATTCCCAGTCCCAGCAGCTTCGTTTATAGCTCTGACCAGACCGCCGTTTAATTGGGCCTGAATCAGACCAGCACACTCACTCTTGTCTTTTCACACACACTGACAATGAATGGCTATTTATAGCTGCCTCTCTGAGTTGCATTTAGCTCACAGCCTGCACAAGCCAGCCAACCAGGCAAGGATCTCTCTTACATGCCCCGTTAGCCTTGGCAGTCCTCTCTGCCTTGCTCACCCCAAGAGACAAAGTGGAAACCAGAAGCAGCGCACCTAAAGATCTTTAGGTGCCACCTCCCCATGAACCAGGAAGTGTGCGCTCATCTCCGCACCAACTAGTTGGGCCTCTCCCTGGCCTGCAAATCTCAAGCAGAGGGAGAAGATTCTAGTTGTGGTGTATGAGAAATAAAGACAGACAGACAGACAGACAGACACACACACACACACACACACACACCATCAATTTCAAACAGCCAGTAAACTCTACACCCTTTTCATATACCTCTCTTTTTAATCTTTCATGCTTAAGAGACATCTGGGCCACATCATTCGGTTTTTGTACATTTGGCTCAGCAAGAATGAGACAAGGTAACTGCAAGAGTGTGAAACTTCTCATAGGTGGGCAGAGGAGCTCAGGACTGACTGAGAATCTTAGTGCTAGAAAGAGTCATAGTAGAAAGAAGAATGCCAACACTTTCAACTATTTCATATATAAGTTTAGAAAACCAAGGATTAATCTAGTCAATACCTTGCTATTGAATGGGCAAAGATAAACCACGTCATTTCTCAACTAAAGCGCCTTCCAAAAGAACAAGGCAGCTGCTATGGAAGATCTTCAAGATAAATAAAAAGAAAGCCTGGGTGCTGGTCAAATGTTCTACAACTGAAGTGCATTCCTACCAAGGCTCCTAGTTTTACAGCCCTGCAGTTGACTACTAATGACTCCACAGTTGGCTATGTCAAAGGCAGTCTAAATTTATTGTCTATGACATCGTTATTTTTCTTAAGTTCTCCAACATTTTTCATAAACCTGGCAGCAGGAACAAAGGGCAACTAGTTGTTGACTTGTTTGTTCTTAACTACCTTAAGAGTACAAACAGGGTCTTCCTGAATTTTGTTTCCTAAATTCTCAGCAGAGGCCAAATTACTCCCAGGAAGGAGGCAAAAACTATAGATTTTATGGAAAGAGAGATGGGGGGAGGATAGGGATATAGATGGAGAGAGAGAGAGTAGGTAAAATCTCAGATACTGTATAATTGTACAATGGTTTGTGGTTCTATAGAATCACAGGACACAAAGAGACATATCTGTGTCATTACGTTTTCATGGGGGAGATGGAAGGGAACTGTGGTGGAAAATAACCAGAGATATCCTTAGAGGTGGGACACTGGGCCAGTAATTAAAAAGGAGAAACACTGTGTAGTCACCTTTGCTAATTGCTTACAAAGCTTCCATGGGGGATGCCAATAACAGTTAGACTTGGAGTCTGAGAAAGTTCTCTAGAAAGAGCCGTGCAATGGCATATTTGGGGTACTTAGCCATAAGAGAGCATCTGATGGGGAATGTACTACTGTGTATGTTTATCTTATTGATTATTGAATAAAATACTGTTTGGCCAATGAGACAGCAAGTTAGACGGAAGTAGGAGTCAAAGAGGATTCTGGGAAATGTAGTAGAGAAGTGCTGATCCAGGCAGGAAGTGACATAGCAAGGAGACTCATATTTAAGCGAAAGAGAAACAGGAAGGACTCTCTTTTCCCCTCCGCTCCTGCTCCAGCGGCACGATGTGATCCACCAGCTAGGAGGGACACCAGTAAGGTGTCCAATAAGATAAGTCTTATAAAATATATAGATGTATGATAATTGAGACTGAGCTAACAGATGAGAATCTAGTCATTGGCCAAGCAGCATTGTAACCAATACAAGTCTCTCTGTATTCATTTGGGCCTAACTCGGGCAGGCGGCTGGCGTAAAGCATACACGTGGCGGTGGGGCTCAGCGGCTTATGGCGGAAAGATTTATCGTAACAAGCATCATGTTTACAGAAGACAAAGGCATCTGCACAACCATATGCAGACTTTAAAATGAGGAGTGAATTTAGGATAGAGAGGCCAGCAGGATCAGAGCAGGAAGCCTAATGCTTGTTTAGTTGTTTGAGGAGTTGACCAGAATTCTTGTTCTAAAGAAAAAAAAATCTTCACATTTTGACAATCAAAAGACCAGTTGAAGTATTATTTTTTTCAAATGAAATTTAAATTCTAGCTAGAATAAAGGAGTTAAACCTGTGCTTTGTCTATTTTCTGGTCACATCTATAAGAATTATGCTTGCCACCATGACCCACTGAGGACATGTATGCATCTGGTATAGATCATTCAGCCTATCTGATGTTGGCACTTTTAATGCCCCCCAAATTCATTTCACGACCCCAGATTGGTCACAAGTCATAGTTTAAAATAACAACAACAACAACAACAACACCCATTTAAATGTCTACAGTATCAATCTAGATAGAGACAAAAACAAAAATTGTCTCATAGTACATTTCTCCTGTGTATAATTTAATGCTTGTTTTGATCTTCTGTCTGTAGCTGTGCATGACTTTGAGCTGGTACAGGAGGAAGCAGAATCAAGTGGAGAAACAAGCATGGCTTAGTCAACCGCTTAGAGGTGAGAGGAAAAGAGAAGAACCAGGCTCAGGAGCAAGAGGCAGTGGCAAAGTAGATATAAATTAAACCATAATTTGTCAGGATCTACTCATTGCCTTCAGGTTTCAGCCTCAGATAGGCTGGGTGAGGAGAGATAGGTAGATCCATCCAGGGGCTAGCATCTGCTATGTTTGGTATCAGTAAGATATTTTAAAGAAAGCAGGCTATAGGTATGTTTGAAAGAACTGAATAGCAAGAGGTCCTGTTGGGCCTTTGGAGACGTTGTGTCTATCGGATCCCTACATGGACAATATTCTATTTCAGATATTTCTTTTAAACCCAATAGTTTCAGCCTGCACCCTCAAGCATCCCTTCAGTAAGGATCTATTCCATGATGAAACCTAGTGTCGACTAAGCCTTATGGGGTTAGGAAGGGGGTCTCAGGTACTCTACAGATTTGAGCAAAGAGCTTATTTATGATTCTGGTGGGGGCAGGACATAAAACTAAATTTCTGGGAGGAACAATTTAGTGAAACCCAGATGGCATGTAACTGAGTAAATTCCGAATTTCTGGACACAGAAGAGTGCTTTTGACTATGTCACTGAATATTCAGTGCAGCATGTCTACACTCCTCCAATGAGGCCAGTATGAAGCATATGTCATGAAGCATATGTCTCGAGTCCATTTTAACATCACTCTATGAAGAAACAGCTTCTAACATGTCATACGCTCCTTTGAACGTCTATGTATTTTTTTTAAAATGTGACATGAAATGTTAATTTCAGACTGGAAAGAAACAGATCTTTTCAGGACGTGAACTGAACTGTGAAACCAAATCCAGATTTAGCATGATCCGGTGGTCTGACACTGAGGAGGAAGGGGCTCTTTTTCAATGTTGTGACTTCCCTCTAGTGGCCGAGACTGGAATTTCGTGAACAGAAGGCCAATTCTTGAGAAATAACTGGAATTCCAAACAAGGAATTCTTCCTTTTGCCTTCTGACTACATTTTCCAAATAAGTGTTTGCATGTACTGACTTTTTATGGCTTATATTATATGGTAGGAGGAGAAAAGATGGAATGGGAAAAGTTCAAGAATAGATTTTGAACTCTTGCTTTCTGATTGAAAATTACTAAGCTTAATAAATGTACTCAGAAAGTCATCAAAACTGTGTGATTAAGGAAAACAGTTAATGAGCATAGAGACTTCTGGGATCATCTTTATTCTGTCCTTTACCTGAGTCAATGTCAAGTAACAATCCCTTTGAGGCTTGCCTTCTTTCTTGCTTGTAAAATAGGAAAATATACCTTTTAGAATTTCAATGAGGTTAAAAAACAATAAAATGCATAGACTAGAACTCTACGCACTGTAAATGTGCAAGAATTGTATTCAGAATATAATATTACTGAAAAAGATCGAGGTCCTTTGGAGAAAAGATTATTTCATACAGACCCATTTCGACTCAGTAGTTGTGCTGTCATGTTTCTTTAAACATTAATTGAGGCCTTGGAAACTGCTAGATGTTACTGGATAACTTTATAAACCATCATATCTAGAGCTGGGCTAGACCAGGCCAGGCCCGAGGGAGGAGGGTACTAACGAGTCACTATTGCAGCAGAGTAGTGTTTATCAGCAGGATCAGGATCAAACGGTTCTCCAAATTCCTTCCACATCTGTTCAGAAGCCCTTCGGTGTTGGTAACATGATGCTTGAGTGTCCAGGCCACTGGTCTTGAGGAGCTCAAACCTGCTTTTTCAACCCTGAGGGAAATTCCAAAGAAATAATCATTACAGCTTGCTCACAAGCTGTTCCGGGAATTTATGAGTTCTGTCTTTCACCACAGAATTCAGCTTAGAGGTCAGATAAGGACTGGCAGGTTAAAGAAAGTGTGGAGTTAAAGATAGTGAGGTAGTGAAGGAAAGAGAGGAGTCAGTGACCAGAGGGGGACAGAGAAACCAGCAGCCTGGGATCTCAGTTGGCAAATATAATACTGCAAAGGGCTGGACTGGGTTTATAAGACTCCTTTGAAGTTAAAAAAAAAAAAAACAGGAAGAAGAAAGATCATCTCTATGTTGTTGATTTCTGCAGCCTTCCCAGTAGGTTTCTTCTTTGTGGCCTGTTGTCCAGACACTCCTAATCTCTGGCACTGGGCTGCAAAGAATTGCCTCCAAAGCACATTTTAATCACAGGATTCTAGGGTCAGATACAAGAAGCCAATTAGGGAGAGAATAAATTTGTTCAAGGATGCTGGAGGGGAGACTTCCCATCATTTCTCTTTTCCACACCAGGAAGGCTTTC